TAATTCTGAGTGATCTCCAGCCCTCACCTGGAGATTGGACACATTTTACCTCAGAAGAGCAAACTGTTTAGAATGTTAGAGGCAAAAGCCAATCATGTCACATATGCAAACGACCTCTGTGTTCCGAGGCAAAGGCCAATGAGGCTGCATATGCAAATAACCTCTGTGTTCTGACAGGCTGGGGGGGGGGAAGCAAACTGTTTAGAATGTTGGAGGCAGGACTCAGGCAAAGCAGCCAGTGGATATGGAGACCCTCTGAATGACAGATCAGAGAGCGAACTGATTTTGGAGCGTGTTGAAATGTTCAGGGGAGTCCATGACCAAAACAGGATTATATATACCGGAGGATATGATTTACAATCTTGGAAAGTGGTAAACCTGCGGCAAGTGTCCCTCTTCTTTATCACTGCCTCGCTGATTAACTGTGGTGCTTTAGGGGTGATTTTTGCATCTGACTACAAACAACAGTGATGTGTTTGTTGCACTTACTGGTAACAGTGCTCATGCACTCCTCTAGTGCTGGGCAGTGTTGTTATATAGTCGAAATGTAGAACCTAGTGCAGGATGAAATAAGGTGAACAGACACAATGAAAAGTTATTTAGGCATATAGATGAAGTTATTAACATCTGTAAATGTAAGATACTGGACCTAGAAATGACAGGTCCTTGTAAAGACTTGACTGAGAGATGTGTGTCATTGACTCTAGAAATCCACTGCCAGTGAAGAGTAAGCAGTACTGGAATAGCTAGACCAGTGGCCTGACTCAATAGGAGAAAATTCTGTATAACCAAACAAGTTGTTTCTTTACTTTAAATAATTCAGTTTGTCACATAGAGCAAAGTACCACAAAGCTTACAATTAATGCTTGATGTGATATGGTTTTAAAGCATATTGTACATTGTGTTTTACTGAGTGCTGTAAAAGGGCATGTTCCTGCTCGAAGGAATTTGCTTTCTACATTTCAATAGCATGAAGATGATGGGAGTGAAAGGTGGGCAAGGGGATGCAAAGTTAATGGATTAATATGATCAAGTGCAGTTATATACGCTTAGGCTGCTTTTCAGTTGTAGTCCTGATAGATGCTAATAAAAGCTGAAAATATACTTTTTGATCACATTGAGATTGTAACACTTGGGTTTCATTTGTGTATTTTAAAGTATAGATTTAGTTTTTTTATTGTGCAAAATGCAAAAATGGAAACTAGTTTCAGAAAACCAAGTTGCTTCTTCAGAGAAAGTTACTCTTCCTGTAAAGACAAACATCTTTTTTCCAAAGAGCAGCTTATAGTATAAAACCCAGATGTTTTAAAAGGGGAAGAGCATGTTCTGCTATGGATAATTGGACAGTCCTACTACATGCAGCAGTACCACTTGAAGAATAGTTTTATTCATTTTAATTCACCTTTTCATAAGTTTTAAAAGCATAGCTAGACAATTACTGCTATCAGGAAAAATATACTTGTGCATTGATTTGATTTTTCTTTCAAGGCATTTGAGAGAGAAGACAGCAATAGCAGTAACATCTAAAGGGTTCTATGGGCTGGAAGATGAGAAGGGAACAGCTTGTGCTTCAACAAGGCGTCGTTCTACACCACGCAGTTTAGCAGGCTTGACCACAGGCGTGTTTGAATCCATAATGGTTCAGGTTCTGAGACAGGAAGAGCAACTGAGAGCAAAAGAAGAAAAGAGGTAAAAGGCAAAAGTGGCTTGTTTGCAGCTATTCTTTCCATCCCCCTCCCCCAAACTTTGCTCTTTTGGGAGATTAAACATATCACATCCCATCATTTCTGGTTCAAAATGGACTTCTCAACTGAAGATTTCTGCGTAATTAAGCATCACATTTAGGTAGTCTGGTATACATGCTACTGTACCAGGTATTTCTTATTCAATTCATTTTTAACGGGGGGAAATTTGTTTTAATATTTAATATTCTAAATTTGTTTTAATATTTCACCTTAGAAATTAGGTATGGTATTCAGTAGCTAGAATTTTAAAAATATAATGGTCCTGTTTTTGTTCTATATTTGTTTACTGATGTTTAATTTTAACTTTTGCTGTTGCAGTTTTTTATGGTTTTGTAATGTATCTGTGTTTGTGTATCTGTTGGAAGTAGCCATTTAGAACAAATTGCTGGGAGAGTTTACTTTTAATTGAATTTGATTTTGTCTTGAACTTTTGTTCTCTTAATAAGTTAAATGAATATACAGTCGTATTTAAAATACTGCTTGAGTATGAGAATGCTTGTGTGAGTTGGGAGGAAAAGTAATGGTAGCTTCCATTTTGTTGGAAAAAATTGACCATTGGGCAAAACATGGTAGGGTCCTGTGACTAATCATGGGGAAAGGTTCTCTGCCTCTGCCTTCTGCATGATCTCTCGACTTCCAGGATTCTATAAAGTAAACTCTCAGGGGTCCATGCAGGCTAATTTTGCCTCTCCCCTTTTCTTTCAGCATCCCGTACTCCTGGCCTTTATGCCGGTCCCATCGTACTGGTTGCTTTGTTTATTTTTGACTATTCCATCTTTTTCCTATTCAAGGTGGAATAAGGTAAAAACAACATCGTTTGAAATAATATTCAGCTGAAACAATAAAACCCAATAACTGCATACTCACCAAAACAGCCCTAAAAACCACCTTTCATTTTATATCTAGCTTTAGATGAATTACTGAAGGAATGGGAGGGGGCTTTTTCTTTCTGTTAATTTGCCAACATATTTTTCTGCATATCTGGGAGTGTAGATAATACTGCTGTGACTGAGGGTGGCCCAAGTGCTTTTGTGATCTATGCAGGAGCCATACCATTTACATATAGTAATTGATTTTTATGCAGGCTTTTGTTCATATTCTGTCTCTTTTAGAAGTTGTATGTTGCTGGCATGATGCAGTTCTGTTCTAACTCTTTCTACAGTATTTAGTTGCTGTGCTAACAATGGCAAATGATTGAGCATTTTTTTCTTTCAAAAGGTGTGATGCTTTCTGTTACTTCTAACTATTTTTAAGGAAGTGGATATACTTGAAGATCTGCTTAAGGCACTTTTTTCTTTTCATAGATATGCCATTAATGATAAGCATTTATAATAATGGTGGAGGAAAGTGAGAAGAAAAAGGGGAGGTTGAAAAAGCAAGGCCATTATAGTTCCCTTCTGCTGAAATAGCAGTTCCCTGCATTGTCAGTGGCTTAGTTCAGATATCATGGCACTAGTTTGCTGTTACACGAATGAACTTGAGAAATCTTTGGGCTTCTGTCTCTCCCCTCGTACATGGCGAGATAGTTTTTCTGAGTTTACAGCAACCCACAGTTTGCTGTGGTATCCAAGCTGGTAAACTCGGGTATTTTCCCCCTCTGGAAGCCAAGATTACAAGCAATACATTTGAATGCTGCTTTGCTGTGCAAGTGCAAGTTGCAGCTTGTCAGTTGTATACAGTGGGAAATTGTGGTTTGCCCCAAATCCATAAACAACTAATTATCTTGCTGCACATGAGGGGAGGAGGGGTGGGAGATGGTGAGGAGGGAGCCCGTGGACCTGTAACTCACCCAGGTTTATTCACATAGTGGCAAACTGTGGTTTGCTTGTAATGTCTGAGCAGGGGTCATTTCCTGCTGGAGCGCACCGAAGCAGTGCTCCAGCAGTAAGGAGCCCAGCAAGCCCCGCCCCCAGCAGCCCTGTTGCAGCGGCCTAAGCGGGCAGGCCGGGGAAGGCCTTCCAAGGAGTGGGGAGGCATTTAAATGCCTCCCCCATGCATTTTCCCACCCGCCCACAAAAGTGGGCGGGCAGGGGAAGGCCTGTTGAGGCTCCCCTGGCCCTCTCGTCTAAGCAGGCAGGCCAGGGAAGGCCTTTCAAGGAGCGGGGAAGCATTTAAATCTCTCACCGTGTCTTCCCCCACCCGCCGAAGCGGGGTGGTAGCAGCAGCGGCTTGGTGGGGTGGGCCGAGGGCTGTTTGTGTGTCTCTCTCTCTGCCTCTGTGTGTGCCCCTCTCTCTCTCTCTGCCTCTGTTTTGCTCTGTCTCTCTGGCCCTCTCTCTCTCTCTCTCTGCTCCTCTGTTTGCGTGTGTCCCTCTCTGTTCGCCCCTCTGTGTGTGTGTCTCTGTCTGTATGTCTCTCTCTGCCCCTCTGTGTGTGTCTCTCTCTGTCTCTGTGCATGTGTTTGTGCCTGTGTGCCTCTCTCTGCCCCTCTGTGTGTGTGTCTGTTTGTGTGTCTCTCTGCCCCTCTGTGTGTCTCTCTCTGTGTTTGTGCATGTGTGTGTGTCTGTTTGTCTGTCCGTCCCTCTGCGTGTTTCTCTCTCTGTTCCTCTGTGTGTGTTTCTCTGTGTCCCTCTTTGTGTGTCTCTCTGTTCATTAAACTCAGAAGGGTAACTAATGGCCTGTTACTCATGCACAGTTTATCACAGATTTTGACAATAGTCAAGTCGTGAAACTTCGATTTGGATTCTGTGTTTGCATTTTGCACCATTCTTTTTCTCCTTTTTTTGTTTTTGTTTCTGGTTTGCATTGTGTTTATTCTGCATCCAAAACAGAAAAAACAGAGTTTTCCTAACTAGGTTGGGGGAGATCACTTGTGATATAGTGGTGAGGCCAAACTTCTTTTAGGTTTTTTGTTTTTTTGTGTGTGTGCAGTCACTCTACAGTTGTGCAGTATTGTTAAGTTAAACACTTCCATTCAAGTTCCTGGTGTTCAGTGTTTGCCTTTTTAAAAAATATATATATATTCACCGTTTCCGCTTGAGATTTTCTCATTTGCCCTTACTTGCTGGTTGTCATCTTGATAGTGTTGACATGCAGTGTTCACTGCCATGTCCTTAATAAAAAAATCCTCAGGGGGCTTGTGCAAGAGCATTTCCAAGATAACTGTGCATTGTACTCCCAGGTCACTTTATAAGAGTGTGTTAAGGGTTAATATTGAGTTATGTCTGCCAAAGATTAACTGAACAAATGAAAAATGATCTGTTTAGGGGGGGAAACAAATTGGAGATCCTCCACTGGGTGGATTGCAGGGGAGAGACTTCAGGTGGGTAGCCGAACCCAGGAGGCTTTGTATAGCAACTATCACAAAAATAAATAGCAATACTAACTTGATCTGTATTTTCATGCTTGTTGTAGAGTAGCTTCCGGTGATGTCAGGGGGTGTGGCATATGCAAATAAGTTATGCTAATGAGCTCCTGCACCTCCTTTTCTACAAAATGACCCCTGTGTCTCAGTCAGGTCACTGAGTCATGAGTAAGGGTGTAGCTTGGAAGAACAGCAGAAGCATGATTGTGGACAACACAGACATGATTTAAAAGCACCTCACCCCCATATTTCCTCCAAGTCACAGGTGGTAGTCTTTATACTTAAAAGTTAAAGAGCTGTGAAAATTGTTATTTTTGTGTATAGATTTTTCTGTGTTTGTAGTTTGGTCAAGATTCATACCTGTGGTGCCTAAAATGATGCTCATATACTGAAAACGCATGAATCCTTCTGATTTCTTTTTGCATTTGTAACTGGTCATCTTTTAATTAGTCTGACTGGAATGTGCTGTTGTACCAGAAGAATTCAGGCTGTATAGAGCAGGGCATTTCAGATGGCACTGTCATAGAAGTGTAGAGGAAACTCAAGGGTTCAAATGATGATCTTTTGAATATTGCAGGTATTTCAGAGGTCTTTGGAGTTTTCCAGGAAAAATTGGCAAATTGTTAACCACTAAGTAGAATTGTAGAAACAGGTGTTTTAAATCCAATTTAACTGACAGCAGAGGAATTTTCTAATGAGCAGGTGTTGTAACTCAGGCTGCGGTCACACGGAGCATTAGCCACGCTACTGCGATGGATGATAGGCGGATTTTCCGGGCACGATCACACCGCGACATCTGGGAAGCGTAGAGCTCCCATGGCGAACCCGAGGCTTCCCGCCGAAGATGCGGCGTAAAAAACTAGTACCCCTGAGGTACTAGTTTCCGGAAACCGTGGGGCAAGGGCTTGCGTCTGATTGAGTTTCCAGTGGTAGTTCGTGGCATCCGGCACCCGCCCATGTCCCGTCGCAAACAGTTTTTTTCCCCCCAAGTCTCCACAGCATCCAATGCACAAGCATCCAATGGCACACGCGCACGAAGAGGAAAGCGAAAGTTCCATTGCTGCGCAGAGTCGCGCATGCCGTTGAACGTGAAACCAAAAGTTCCACTCCTCCGTCCTTCGGCTTAAAAGAAAATAAATGACCCCATTTGCCACGGCAGCGGCGCCTAGCCATTGCTGGTGTAATCACGCCACGCCGCTTCTTTGCTGCGCTGCAGGATCGTCGTGTGATCGCCAACCTCATTTACCTGCTGGTGCCAAGGGAAGGACCCGTGGTGTGCTGCCGGCGCGTCTGATCGCGTAATTGCGGGTCAAACTGCACCAGGGCAATTAGCCACACCTCCCCCCGCAATATCCGGCTCGAGTGACCGGGGCCTCAGTAGACTTTTAATTAGGATGGTACCAACCGTTCTGTCTAATGACCTGTCATAGTGGAGATTTATGATCAAACTCTCTGCTTCAGAGACAACTAAGTTCAGAAGTTCACTGTGATCTTTCAAGTAGCTTTAGCTATAAGGAAAAATCAAACTGAACTCTCCTTTCAGTTTAATATGCCCTAAATAGTGAGTCTTAAAGCAATCTATAAGCAATGTACCTGCCTTTTAACAGCTTCTTATTTGTTTGTTGCTTGCTTAGAGAAATAG